CCAGCGAACGGGGGGAGACCTTGATTAGCTCCTCCGCAGTCCGCTCACGCCTCTCCCCTCCGCCTCAACCCTTCTCCGCCTCCGCCCTCTCGCTCCTGCTTTCGGTACAAGGTTCACTTTCGTCGCCCCCCATATTCCCCTCTCACATCCCTGCGCTCCCCCCACCCCTCACCCTTACGCGCCCGGCATGCATCACTCCTTTTTTCGTAGTGAAGCCCCTCTATCCTCGATACTTCTTTTTTTTTTTTTTTGTTCTCTTTTTTTTTTTTTCCACCCCCGACCTCCCAACTCAATTCCCATCCCTTGCGCACTAAACACCTTTACCTCCCCCTCAGCAGAACCCGCACTGATCCTCCACAATCTCGCACTCCAAAAACACCGTCTATAATCACGGTCTCTCCTTCCCCCTTACATCGAACTTTCCCGCCAGATCCCCCGTCCATTAGCCTGGAGCTGAATTTGGTGTATCTTTCGGTCTAAATTTTTAGCTATAATGACCGTACGTTGTATTCAGGGGAAGACTGTAGCATCCACCGCTCCGATAGAACATGAAAGATACACCGGCATAATTTATCTTTGGAGCATGTGACGAGTGCTGGAGTGAGACCCCTCTCCCCTCCCCCCTCCCCCCCCTTTCCCCCTCCCCGCGTTCCTTCTAGATCCTGCAATCCCTTCGTCCACAACCCTACTCCCTTTCCCCTTGCACAATACACCATACAACTTATGCCCCCGCTCGCCCCCCCTTTCCGCTTCCCCCCCTCCTCTCTGCCCAGATTGCCATGACAGCCGACCTCAAGAGTATATGCCGTCGAACCTTCATTCTCTACAGGATGTCTGCTACTTGCAGCTTCCGCACTTTCTCCCATCATATCCATTTTTCTACCCCCCGACTCGTCTTCCCGCCCTTTTTGTCAACCTCACACTTCTTCCAGCCCTTTTTGTCAACCTCACACTTCTTCCCGCCTTTTTGTCATCCTTCAACACTTCTTCCCGCCTTTTTGTCATCCTTCAACACTTCCTCCCGCCTTTTTGTCAACCTCACACTTCTTCCCGCCCTTTTTGTCAACCTCACACTTCTTCCCGCCCTTTTGTCATCCTTCAACACTTAGCAGGTAGGCAGAGGCAGTTGACGTCACCCCCTTCAACGCTCAGAAGGCAGTACACCTGACCCCAGCTCGTACTCTCCTCTCTTCCCAATCCTAGCTCCTCCTGGGCCAACACAGCCTTCCTTCGTCGTCCATTGCTTGCCCTCCTCCTTCTTTCGCCCTTCTATCCTTCCTTTCTCCTCATCCTCTCTTCCTCCCGTTCATCCCATTTTCCCCTACCTTCTCCTCCTTCCTCCCGCCATCTTCTACCTCCTATCACTTCCTTTCCCTATTCTCCCCTCTCATGGAGCACGCCATCCACTTCCATGGACGGAATGACCAACGCCCTTGGCAAGCCAAGTGCACGTCAGCAATTTCAAGCTGTGTGGCTTCTGACAGGCGAAATGGGGGGCAGCAGCAAATGGATTCGCACATCTGAGCCTAAGCCCTCCTCCGTACAAGCACGGATTCGAGTCAGCGACCTCGGCCTCAAGAGCCAGAAAAAGGGGCATACAGCCTTCGTCTCCTCATCTGCCTCCGTCTATCCTATGGGCTTTTTTCTTCCGTCCTCTGTCTCCCTATCCTCTCCCTATCCTCTCCTCTCCCTCTCCTTCCCTCCTTCGTCTCGTGATGGCCATGGTGAACGGCCGCCTATGCCAAGGGCGTATTCGATTGGAAGGTAAGGAGGGTTGAACTTCACTTCACTCAAAAATCCAGTTTTCGCAAATTTCCAGTTTTCGAAAATTTCACATTTATATTACAGTAGTAGAAGTAGATAGGAAACGGGAAATTTGAGTGAATTTCTGGAATAACCACCCATCCGTTCGGAGTACCAAGGGGGCAGGGCCAAGGCTTTGACGAAGAGAAGGATGGTGCTTGATGGCGGTGCGTGAATGGAGGTAATCGGCGATCAAACAGCAGGAATGTTCGAGAAGGAGAAGCCTTTGTAACCCTTGTAGGCATAATAAGCAATCCTGGTCACATAGAAGCCTGGCAGAAACAAAAGGACGCCAAGGAGGGTGAAAACAACACCGTGCGACCGGTCACCGCCCACCTTGTCGTACATCATGAACACTCCCATGATGATTCCAAGCGACCCGAGTGTGAGCAGCAACACCGCCAGAGCTATCTCTCTCCATGGCGGACTGCTGTGCACAATCAACACGCTACTCTCGTCAATCCCGCTGTACCTGCTGGTCATCATCTCTCTCTCTCTCTCTCTCTCTCTCTCTCTCTCTCTCTCTCTCTCTCTCTCTCTCTCTCTCTCTCTCTCTCT